CATCAATTAGCATAAGGAATGAGGATAAATTAACTGTGAGGAAGAAGGAAAAGTGTTAGGTATCAAGCTTGTGTAATAATAAAACCTACTCAAGAAAAATAAGAATTTGCATATAATGGTGAGTAGGATTGCTCCACAGAAATTGGGGAGAAATTTGTTTCTTTTTAGAGTGAGAATTATGGAGGGATTTTTGGAAAATTAAAATAAACAATTTACATAATTGAAAGAAATCAAACAAAAGAAAATTAGAATTAAATCAATAATAAGCAAGCTCTAGCCAAAGAGAAAACGTAAAAGTGGTTCATATAACTGCTCATTAATACAATAATTATTTCATTTATTCATTAACAAACAAGTTATAATTGCCAAGCAAACAATGATAATCAATTTTTCCATACCATATCCATAGTTAAGGTACGCCCATTAACAATTTCCCTAATCAAGAAATAACCCTAGATATTCCCATAAAATTTAATTTTCTAGATTGCTGTTTGGATGGGAGTGTTTTTCAAAAACTAGTTTTTCAAATACAATAAAAATTTTTAAAAAGTACTCTAAAAGGTAATCTAAAAATTAGTTTAATTTTTTTAAAAATTTTAAAAAATATCTCAAAATATATTCTAGAAACTCTTCTACTCTTAGATATTTCAAAATATTTTCTAAAAATATCCCAAAATATAATCTAAAAACTCTGCTACAACAAAATTTTTCAAAAACACTCCAAAAAACAGCTAATCCAAACGACTAAGAAATACCCCCAAAAACAGCTAATGCCTAACATGAAATCGATCACCCTAGTTACCACTAATTTAAGACAATTAAATAATTACAAATTTATCTATCTCAACAGGCAATAGGTCATTAAGTTGAATTAAATATCAGATCGTTGTTATTCAAACAACAAAACAACCATGAGAAATTAAATCAAAAAACATTCAAATATTAACGAATAAATGAAACAAATAAAAGACACAAATAAAATCAATTCGATCTCACAGTTGTAATTGAACCAAATCCTCAATTATTCCTTGGCTAGAAAAAGAAAATTAGTTGCTCATCAGGGAGAAAACCCAACAAAAAGTTGATGTATAGCTAGAGAAAAGGAGAAAAAGCTAAACCCTAATTCTAATGTCTTTCCCTATTTATATAGTCGTCTAAAACTTATCCCAAATTCTTCTAGGAAATGGAAATAATAAAGAAAAAGGAACAAGAGAACATTAGTAGTGTCCTAATCAAAGTTGGATGCTTTTACGTTTGGAAAAGGAATCTTAGGTAGGCTAAGAATTCAGATGAGAGATGGAAACTTTCAACGCGTCAAAATCTCAAATTTCCCAGACTTGAAGTGTGGACTTAGGCGTGTCCACGCTGAACTTGTTTGAAGTCTTCTACTGAAAATCTCTTCAATTAACCCCTTTTCACTCTTTTTCATTCTAAATTCCTACAATCAACACCAATTATCAAATATAAATAGAATTAATATAGTAATGCAATATTTGGGCAAAATCACAAGAAAATATTTGTAATTATCTAACTAATATGCACTCTGTCAATTTTCTCCACACCTAAGGTGTGCTTGTCCTCATGCACTAGAACAACAAATCAAGTAATTGAGTTTAACCAATGGCTATTGCTCAAATCACGCATTACTAAGGTACAATTAAATTAAATATGAAGCATCAATGGCTAATCTCCAAGAGATATCTCTTCGGCTAGTTTTTAAAACCAAAGACTCTCTCAATTCTTGACTAACTTATCTAAGAATATAAAATATTCAACTAGTATTCATCAGGAAATGGTTCGACTATTAAGCAAAATCTCAACATCAAGACTCATGGATCCGCAGGCTAGAACAATCAATCACACACTTTCACGTTCATATGCACTTTTTCTTTTCTTTTTTTCTTCTCTTGCAACATCCTTTTTCTTTTTCAAACTTTCCCCTACACTTAAGTTTTTTGTTTTCAATTTTTTCAAGGGAAATGCCTAACCCTTAGCCATTCAAGCATTTTGATACAAATTTTGATATCTTCCAAATGAAGGAGTTCGGTTACTCAACTTTCACCTCTTAAGAATCATATACTCATAACTATCGCCACTTTTTGATGCGAAAGTCAACATTTTTTATGAAGACCCCCTGATTATTAGGAAACGATAACTAGCGGAGTATAACTAAATATTATTCACAAATAAACATGAAAATAAAATTAAAGATCACAATCCTGCTTCATTCCCAGACATAGAGAACTAAGATTAATAGTTGAACCAATTCACATGAAAAATATTATAAAAATATTTAGAATGCCTAGAAAAATTAACCAAAAATTACAAAAGTTACAAAATTTCAAATATTCACTAGAGAGACACCCTTAGACCTTGCCATATCATACTCAACATATTAACATATAAAACCTTAACAATAATCAAATTTGAGAATCTAGCACTTTATCAATATACCATCCTCCACACCCAAACCTTACATTGTCCCCAGTATAAGAAATAAAGAACAAAATATAGAAAAGGGACAACAAAAATTTCCTGAGCATGCAAATGGGTATCATATTACTAAAGATCAAGAGCAAAAGGTGGGGTGAAACCAATAGAATAAAAGTAGCCAACAAATTCTTTAATCATGTTAGACACAAACACGCCTAAAACCCAAAAAATCTTCTGATAAAAAATTTTCAATTCACTAATTTCATCACGCCCTAGAGGCACCGGCACACCTTATCAATCACTTATTTTCTAGAATTTTTTGTGCATATCATGAAAATTTATCAGTCATTTAGGCATATGAGCGCCTTGTCTGGTACTTTCTCCGTCCCAATATTAGAGTCATCTTTGGAAAATCCAACTTTTTATGGAAATAGGATAATCATTAGGTTTAGATGAGGTGGCATTGATAAATTTACACATGTATCCTTTGAATTTAAAATATTCTCTTGATAGATGTGTCTTGAGATTTTAAAAAGTTACTTTTTAAATGACAATATTGGAAAGCATGTGTTAAATTTGAAATAGTGACTTTTATTTTGGGACATCAATAAAGCGAAAATATAACAATAACAATGGGACGGACGGAGTATTAATTTTCTGTCCACCAAAATGCATAGAAAACAAGAAACCTTACATAAAAGTAATAAAAATAAATTAAAAATAAATTGGGTTGTCTCCCAATAAACGCCTTTCTTGAATATCTTTCACTAGGCATAAAACATCATTTTTCAATTTGGATATAATTCAAACTTTCTTGTAATTAGTGGAATTTTTTCAAGATCTGAATCACTATTGCGTGTAACCATCTTTTTTAACGTTTTGCCCATTTTCATATCATAAGTTGTTTTCAACCCATGATGTTTGTTTGCAACTACTTTCAACTTACCTTTGCAATTACAGTCAAGAAATTCTTGTAGTGGGATTAATAGTACAAATAACAAATATAGAATGAGAATTAATAGGATGTTTCATTTTATTAAAAATATTAAAATAAACAATTTCTCCATCAAATTTTATCGTAAGAGTACTCTTATTAACATCAATTTTAATATCAGCATCACTCAGGAATGGTCTTTCTAATATAATAAATGATGGATTTGGATTTTTTTTATCATCCATGTAAAGCACATAAAAATCAGTAGGAAAAATTAATCTAGCTACTTGAATTAAAACATTCTCAATTATTCCATTCGGATAAGTAAAAGTACAATTAGCCAACTATTACCCTAATTTCTTTCAAAGATTCTAAATTCAGGGAATCATAAATAGATTTAGAGATCACATTAATAAAAATCTCTAAATCTAGCATGGCATTTCTGATTTTTAAATTTTTAATTTTACAAGGGATGGTAAACATATCTGAATCCCCATATTTAGGTAGTAGTTTTATTTGTAAAATTGCGAAGATATTTTCACCTATTATAATTTGCTCATCCTCTCTCAATTTCTTCTTGTTGACACAAAAGTTCTTTAAAAATTTCATATACTTAGGTACTTGCTTGACCGCATCTAGTAAAAGAATATTTATCTCCACCTTTCGAAGTATCTCGAGAATCTCCTTCTCTTTATCTTGCTTTTTCGGCCTCTCTAACCTGTTAGGAAAAGATGGTGGATTAGTCTTAACTTTAATCATAGGGCCAGAGATTACGTCAAGGGTTGCATTAGTCATTCCTTCTTCATCAAGTTCTTTCTCAATCTAATTCTCATTCTTGTCCTTTGGAATCACCACTTTAGGCCTTTCCACCTCCTTGCTGCTTCTTAGAGTCATTGCACTAATATTCTTAACATTTATCTCAGGTTGAAATGACAATTTTCTTTTGTCTTGAGACTCTAAGTGACTAATTGCGATTGCCATTTGACTTATTTAGTTTTCTAGATTTTTTATGCTTGCCCTCGTCTCTTGTTGAAATTGAAAAGTATTAGAAACCAATTGTTTAACAATGGCTTCAAGAGGAGTACTTGAGGTAGATGAAAAAGGTTGAGGCCTCGATGGGTACTGAGGCTAAAACTCTTGTTGTCGATTAGGGAACAAATTTTGTAGCCTTATCCCTCCATAGTTTACATTTGGATGATCCCTTCTACTTGGATTATACATGCTGAAGTAGGGGTCATATTGTCTATGAGGCACGAGCATGTTACTAGTCATGTTTACCTGTTCTGCAATATCATCTAGCAACACTGGACACCCATCTTTGTGGTGACTTGTATCTTTATAAATTTCACATGTCTTGACCGGTTGTATGTGTCCTACTACCATCTGTCGAATAATAGAAGTTAGTTTAGATAATTGTTGCTAAATTGATGTAACACTTATCTCATTCACTCGTCGAACAGGTACATCATTTCGCATACCAAATTGTTGAAAATTTTTAGCTATCCCTTCAATCAAATTCTAGGCTTCTCAAGGAGTCTTATTCACCAGTGCACCTTTACTTGTAGCATCTATAATGTTCCTTTACGAGAAAGGTGGACCTTCATAGAAATACTAGATCAACAACTACTCACGAATTTGGTGTTGAGGGCAACTTGTACACAATTTCTTAAATCTCTCCTAATATTCATAGAGAGATTTCCCATGTTGCTGTTTAATACCACATATCTCTTTTCTTAGATTGACAGCTCGGGACGCAAGAAAGTACTTCTCTAAAATATCTTCTTCATGTTATTCCATGTTGCAATACTCTTTGTAGGCAAATAATATAACCAGTCTTTGGCAGCCCTCTTTAATGAGAAAAAGAATGCCTGCATCTTGATCTGCTCTTCTGTAACACCAGAAGAATTCATGCTTGAACAAACAATGTGAAACTCCTAGAGGTGCTGGTGAGATCCCTCACCTGGCAAACCATAAAAATTGGGTAAGAGATGGATTAAACCTGATTTTAATTCAAAAGTAACATTTCTACTAAATCAAGAAAAGTGATGCAGAGTGGCTATTGAGCCAAGTTAAGAGCAGCCAACTTCATCAAGATCCTATTATTAGCCATGATATCCTCTTCTTGCTCAAGATCACTCAAATAATCACTTGAAAAATCCACCAATTCAACCGCCAAATTGAGCCCTGGGTATGCAGTAGATGTCTGTCCCTCCTTATGTTTCATGATTTCTCTCCTCAATCTACACATTGTCTTCTTAACCTCATGAGAGATGGAAACTTTAACGCGTTAAAATCCCAAGTTTTCCAAACATGAAAGCTGGACTTAAGCGTGCCCACGCTAAACTAGTTCAAAGTCTTCTACTGCAAATCTTTTCAATAAACCCCTTTTCACTCTTTTTCATTCCAAATTCCTACAATCAACACCAATTGACAAATATAAGTAAATTCAATCCAATAATGCAATAGTTGGCCAAAATCACAAAAAAATATTTGCAATTTTGCTAACTATCAAGAAGTGATGTACAGAGGGAGGTGGCTAGTGAAGACAACATGGAAGAGGAGAGATAGGAGAAGAAGGGGAGGAGAAATTTTTTACTGCTGTTGAAAAGGAGAGAAACGGTGGCCAGTAAGAGGCAAGAGAGGAAGGGGAGGGGAAGAAGGAGAGAACGGCGATGAGAGATAAGAGAAGGAAAATGGATTAGAAGTGAGAAATTTTAATGGTTTAAAAAATTTGTTTAATAAAAGCTATTTAGAATCAAATTTAGGAATTGTTAAAACCTCCCAACTTACTTGGAGATTGAGAGCTACCACATTTTTAGAAATCATTCCAAAATCTTAAATCCCATACCTATTTTCCAAGTAGCAAGGAAGGATATGATACCAAATCTAGATTCCAATACCTTAAACCAAGCGCCCATTGGTTTTCTATACTTACAAACAAAAATTCAAAATAAAACTATAAACAAAAAGAAAAGCCACTTATACTTTACCATTTCTAGTTTCTTATTCCATATTCCATCTCTAACCTTGTCGAGCCAAAGCCTCAAAAATTTTTGTCAAGCTTCCACCCTCTTCCTCTCAAATTTACATCACCACACTATCAAATTTATAGCATAAATATGCAATTAGCCTTCAAAACCACCGTCTTTCAAATTCTCCATCCCTCTCTGTTACTTCCTTTCAACAATACCAAATCTAGACCTTCCAATTATAATTATGACAAATAAAAAGTAGAGTACAATTTAAAAGTTGAAGATTAAATAGAAGAATGACCACTCCAGCTTAGAGAACTTTTTATTTTTTAAATTCAAGTGACGATGTTCTTTTTTTATGGTTTTTTTTTTAATTCTCCCTTCCCCAAATTTCTCCCTACCCCTAAGATGATAACTAAGTCCGAATCCCAGTCTGCCAAGCGGGGGCATGAAGCCCCTAGCCAATAGTTCCAATGGCTATTGATTTTATGGCAACGTGTGTGTGTGTGTGTGTGTGTTTTATTCACTTATAAAGGTAGTTACTTGAGAACGTTGTTTGTGATGACTATGCTTGATATTCAATGTCTTTTTTAGTGACATTTTGTGGTGAATTTTCAAAGAATTGGATAGTTTCAATTTGTTCTTTTCCAATCATTGGTGATTATGAAAATGTTGGTCCAGAAGACTCAGCAAGATACTAATGCCATAGTGGGTGTGGGTTTCTTGGTAACTAGACTGATTAGCCATTGATCTGGGTGAAGGAGGATTTTATTGCGGGTAGGGTTGTAAATGAATTTAATCAAGTTGAATACTCAAGTATTCAAGGTTGTTTAATTATTTTAATAAGTTTGAAATTTTATTCAAGTTTGATTTGTTTATTTGCCTAGTTGAATTTGAATGAGTTTTTATCGGGTCAAACTTGTGTCAAGCTCAAGTAGCTTGAAATTTTTACATGTAAAATCCAATTGTATACTAATTGAATCAAGCTCGAGTCGAACTTGAAAGTTTATCAAATATAAAGCATTGTTTAAGTTTGGTTTGACTAATTGGCGAACCAAGATCAATCGAACTGTTACCAAACCAAACTTGATTTGAGTGGCGAGTAGTTTAGTTCATCTCTCAATCATATTTGTGAGTAGTGATATATATCATTGCTAAATGTATCACCAAAAGATTATTTTCTAATTATAACTGACTTGGAATACCACCTTAATTATTATCATTAATGAGACGTTTCCAATTAAGCTTCCTTCCTCCTCTGCATTGCCACAGTGTTTCAGCCTCATCCACTTGCAAAGCTACAGTCCATTCAATCACAAATCCATCTCTAGCCCTTGGCAAATAGGCGACATTTGGGCGAAACTTAAATTGGACTGAAAAATATGGGTTTATACTGAAACAGTCCCATCGACAGACTAAAGTGACACACGTCAGCACATTAGTTCCTTCTCTCTCTCTCTCTCTCTCTCTCTCTCTCTCTCTCCCTCTTCATCGTGTTTCTCCTCCTATATTGCTTCCCAAATCCTCTCATAAAAAAGAATTTCAAAAAATTTCGGGCTATTGTGATTGAGGAAACCTGAAATTTAAAATTAGAAAAGAAAACTTGTGCTTTTGGTTTTCATTTTCTAGTGCAATGTTCTACCAAACCTTTTTGTGCTTAATAAGTGTCCATTTTTTTTGGGTTATCTGTTCTTTTTGCTTTTTTTTAATGTTTTCGATATTAATATAGCTGGTCTATTAATGTAAGAAGTGTATTACTCTAAGATATACAGAATACCATACCAATTGTACACAAATTTATCTCTACAATAATTAATTTAAAGCCTGAGGATACAATTTGACAGTAGAATTAGATTTCTTTATTTTGCTTTGAATTTTTTTAGTTAAATGATTCATCCATGAACTGACGATATGAAACAAAGACTGGTATTCAAGAAAACGGCTGAGCAAAATTTGAAGGGCCGTGCTAATGAATTTTATTGGAAAAAATTTGCGATTTAGGATAAGAGGATTTATGAGAGGGGGGAGTAGAACCTGAAGTTAAACAAACAAACAAAAAAGAGTGCATTCTTTTTTTAATGGCGATTGTTTTGGTTAACTCAAGAATTAAACCAACTAGATATCTTTATTATAATAGTTTAAAAAGAACATATGTCAGCACATTAAAGTATGTAACATTTTTATCTGCTTTTTTACTTTAAATCTATCTCATCTATTAGACTGAAACAAAAGAAAAAACACCTCTATTCTATATTTCTCCGTTTCCAGGTTTTTCTAATTTCTACGAGTTTTTCTCTGCACTTGCCTTGGGAGATAGAGAAATCCCGCTCTTCGGGGCAATTGATACGTCGTCGTATATATGGTAATTATTGATGTGGTTTGTTGGGCAGTAAATTCAGAGCCCAAATGATTGGGTTTTCTTTATTTTAGGGATTAATGAATATTCAGTCCAAAAATTCAAATGATTTAAAACCATTAAACCAAAACACTCTTGCTCTTAAGCCATGAATCAGAGAGAACATTTGGCATATCCAAATCTAGCAAAGAAAGTATAGCTTGATAAAGAAAGTATATTCCTAAGTGATGAGTTCTTATCTCCAAAATAAGCTGAATATTGACTGACACATTCAAGACGAAGTACTAATGTCAAGAGTCTCCGCTTTCAAAATTCTATAAAATAGAGCACTTGGTCGAGCAAAGTTGTGATCTCTGGCTAGCTCTGCAGCAATCGGAAGAACTAATTTAGTCCTACCATCACTTCAGGTTTTGAAGACAGGCGGATCGAAAGTTACATACCTCACGTATAGTATAAGAATCTATCTGCATCATGTTGAGGGACACGTTCTCCTTTTGCAAAGTATCAAGTCCTCTGTAATTTATGTGGGCAAACAGGCGAGGTGAAAAACTTATGAGACCAAAAGCAGGAAGCAATTTTGGATCACTCAGGGCAGTACCTTATATTGGAGTGAGGCAGAGACGACGTTATTACCGGAATATGTGAAGTAGGAGTTGAGAAGAGATGCTTCTGGTGAATGCCAGAAAAGTCTTCACGTGCGGCAGCGGAAGATGATGAAGGATGAGTTACTTCAATGTCATTTAAAACCATTTATGGAAGGAACATAAAACTGGGCAAAATGTTATTACCATTTGGTCTCAAAATCTATTAAGGGAGGGAAGTAGAAGCGGTTTATATGTACAAACGTAGCGTGCTGCTACAAAATCTTCCAGTGCTTTTGGTTTTCATTTTCTGGTGCAATGTTATACCAAAATTTTTTGTGCTTAATAAGTGTCCATTTTTTTTGGGTTATCTGTTCTTTTTCCTTTTTTTTTAATGTTTCCGATATTAATATAGGTGGTCTATTAATGTAAGAAGTATACTACTGTAAGATATACAGAATACCCTAGCAATTGTACACAAGTTCATCTCCATAATGATTAATTCAAAGTCTGAGGATGCATTTTGACAGCAAAAATAGATTTCTTCATTTTGCTTTGATTTTTTTTAGTTAAACGATTCATCCATGAACTGACGATATGAAACAAAGATTGGTATTCAAGAGAACGACTGAGCAAAATTTGTAGGGCCGTGCTAATGAATTTTAATGAGAAAAATTTATGATTTGGGATAAGAGAATTTATGAGAGGGGAGAGTAGAACCTGAAGTTAGACAAACAAAAAAAAGAGTGCATTCTTTTTTTAATGGCGATTGTTTTGGTTAACTCAAGAACAAAATCTAACTAAAAATCTTTATTATGATAGTTTGAAAAG